TTTTTTTTTTAATTTAAAAAATTGTATTTTATTGTGTTTAAAATTATACATTCAACAAATTTTATTAAATGAAAATACAATTTTTGAATCTGTTATTATTATAAAAAAAATAAAAATCATTAATTACATTCCTATAAATAAAGAACAAACATTTTTCTTGTTCTAAGTCCAATAATTTCAAATTCAAGTCTACAATTACAAAAAAGAAAAGAACATGTTTTTATAAATAAAGAACTAATACTTTTTTTTAATAATTACCCTAAAACTCTTATTCTATACTTACAGGATACCCTTCTTTATAAAAAATTGTTTTAAATCAAATCCAAATCTACTGTTACAAAAAAGAAATGTTAATTATGTTCCTATAAATAAAGATCAAACATCTTCCTTTAATAATTATTACAAGAAACTGTTTCCAAGAACAATAAGTTCAAATCCAAAACTACAATTACAAAAAAAAAGAAAAGAATGTTAATTATATTATTATAAATAAAGAACTAACATCTTTTACAATAATTACCTTAAGAAACTGTTTTCACATCTAAGAAAATCCAAGTTTATTGTATTGTCATAAAAGAAAGGAAAGAAATAATTAATAACAAACTAAATCCATTTTTTAGAAGTTTAAGTAGCTCAATTTTAAAGTTATTATCTTTCTTTAATAATAAATAAATACGATTTAATATAAATATTAAAAAAAAACTTTAAAGCCTTTAATATTAAAAAGTATTGTTTTTTAAAGAAAAGGCAAAATTATAAAGATAAAAAAATTTTTTTTTAAAGTCTATTGTGCATTAAAAAAAACTAAGATATCAGTAAATTCATATTTATTATATGTGATTGATTTAAAATTAAATAGAGGGCAGCTGCAAGCAGCTGCCTGAAATTTTAATATTGATTATAACTAACTAGAGGGGTTTTGGTCTGATTTTTCAGCCTTTTATAAATCATGATCGATGGTTGAATGAGGTGCCTTTACGGCAAAAATATCAGACTTGACCCATGACGCAGTACTAACTTGACCCTCCTGCATGCACGTTATCGATCCTATATATGGAGTATTGTAAAATATATGTAATCAATAACGTGCACGCAGCAGGTCAAGATGACACCCCAGATGGGTCAAGTCCAATACTTTTGCGTCTTTACGAGGTGGTATAGTAAGATCATTCCAAAAATATAACAATTTTTGCCCAATCAAATTCAAGGCCCAGGATAAGCATCTGGACCGTAGTTTAGGATAAGGATGCTCATTTTTTGGGGGTGATTTATTTCTCAAGCTAAGCGGATGGGATTTTAAGGAATATGAAATGTCATTGAGACATAGTCAAAATGTCACGGGTTTTCATATTTAGAATTAACATTTATAAATCATCAAATAAATTTTTCGTAAACGCAAAAAAATCTTATTTTTTAATAGTTTAATATACAAGGTATCATATGGGCCGATCCTTGGAATCTAATTTTTTTACACAAAAATAATTTTATTAAAGCAAATATAAATTATCATTTATATAAGAATAATAAATTTATACTAGATAATGCAAAAAAAACTAATTAATTATATAATTTTTAATTTTTTTTTAAGGGAAAATGTCATTGGCGACCCGTATCGCCAGTGCGACCCTAAATCATTTGATCAAATTTGATTGGCTAACTAATATCTACAATTACGTCAGCCTTCAGTTATTTGTTATTATTTTCCCCCTTTTTTCGTTATTCTTTTTCCCTCCTTTTTTTGTTTCCTTTTCTCTTTATTTTCGCTTTACTTGTTTTATTTTTTGACTTTTTTTTCATTTTATTTCCCTTTTCTCTTTTTTGATTTTATTTTCCTTTCTTTTTTTCCTTCTTTTTCATTTTTTTTTGGTATGTTTTTTCGTTCTTTCTTTCTATTTTTTGTTTTTTCTTTTTTTATAGGTCTTTAGGTTCTTACAGTTTTACAATTAAGGTACGTCCTTTTTTTTCTTGCCTTTGTTTTTTAATTTGTTCTTTACTGACTCTCTATGCTGTTCTTTAACTCCTTCCTTTTCAACATTATGTGACGCTTTTTACTCTTAACTTCACAGGTTTTGTTATTATTTGTTCTTTAACTCACTTGTTTATAAGTTTCATTTTTTAACCTTATTATAGGCTTTTTTTCGCGTTGAGTATTTTTTTCTTTTTTTTTCTTTTTTATTCTTTAGGTTCTTGTTTTCATTATTCTTTACTAACTATATTTTCTTTACTTTATGCCACTCTTTGACTTCGCAGGCTTTATTTTTCAATGTCATTGGTTTTGTTCTTTGATTTCATGAGTTTCATTATCATTTAATTCTTCAACTTTCTTCGTGGGTTTTGTTCTTCATCTCGATTTTGTTTTTTACTCTGTTTTTGTCATTTTTTTTTTGTGTATCAAAATTACTAGTTCTGTTAAAAATAAAATATAAATTTTACAATGTTTCTCTATTAGTAAACTTTAATAATTGATTTTTAACCATACAGTATATCATTATTTTATTGCGTAAATCAAAAACTTTTTGCGAATTAAAGTGTTGCGAATTTTTTAACGAAAATAAAAAAAGTTGACCAATCAAAATATAGTATAAAATCACGTGATTAGGGTCGCCATGGCGACAGGGTCGCCATAAACTAACGCCCTTTTTTTAATATAAGATATCATTAAAATTTAAAAGATCAAATATAACTCTCATGACAAAATCATTGATAATTCTTCTTAGAAATAAGCTATACAAATAAATTTACATTCATTTGAAAGAGAAAATCGAGATATATCTAATGAATCTAAAATCAAGTGAATTGAATTACTAGTTGTTCGGTAATCACGTTCAGTATATTTATTGAATTTTATTTAAATTTGATATTTAATTACTTCACATGTAGTGATTCAATTTGAATGATCTTTGTTCCCTAAGGTGATGCCAACTTTTATCTTTAAAATAAATTTAAAATAATTTGTTTAATATATGTAGATGTTTAGGAATCATCAATTATATTATTAATATAAAATTTTATAAGTTTGATAAAATCTGATATAAAAAATTTTATTAAATACCTGTAGATGCAAGCTACACGAATGAAATTATATTCATTTGAAAGAGAAAATTGAGGTCTATCTAATAAGCCTAAAATCGAATGAATTGAATCACTGGATT